GCGCGTGAGCGTGCGTGTGAGTGTGTGTGAGTGTGTGTACATGTGCGTGCGCACATGTGTGAGTGTGCATGAGTGTGTGTGAGCGTGCGTGTGTGCTGTGTGTGTGTGTGTGTGTGTGAATGTGCATGAGTGTGTCGTGAGTGTGTGTGCGCGTTTGTGTGCGTGTGAGTGATGTGCGCGCGTGCACGTGTGTGTGCATGCGTGTGTGTGAGAGAGTGTGAGTGTGCATGAGTGTGTGAGTGCGTGTGTGTGTGTGTGTGTGTGTGTGCGTGCGCGCGCACATGCGCGCCTGAAAACCAGTTCCCCGTGGGGACTCCTGGGCCAGGAATGCTCCTTCCCCCGACTCCCTGGCCCTTCCCCTGGGATCATATTTCACTGTGACTGACTGGGCACATCCAACCCAAGTTACTCACCTGTAGGGCACTCTCCAAACAGCTTCCCTCAGCTGCCTGGCAGAGGGCGCCCAGCAAAGGCTCCTGGGTAGGAACATGAACTCGTTCCCTGGGAGCCTGCCTCTCGGCTTAGACTAAGTTGAGACAGGAGGCAGGCCCCACTAACAGCAATTAAAAGCAACACTTCAGTGCTTGGATTCTGTCCCTGGGCCCCACATCTGGGGAAATGGTGGGAGAAATAACATAATAGCCCCCTTGTTCTTCCTCATGGCTGTATTCCAAAGGTGGTACTTAGCAGGAGCATCCTCCAGGGCTTTCCCAATCCATGTAAGGGCATCTAAGAGAAATGAAAAATATTTTCACCCCAGCTTTTCTTCACTCTCCCTCTTGTGTCCTCCCCTTGTCATTCTTCTTATTCCTGCTCTCATCTACTGACAGCTTTTTCAAAGTATTCTTTACCAAGAGGTCCACAGGGAATGCTATTTCTTAAAACAAAACAAACAAACAAAAAAAGCACAAATCTTATATAATAAAAGCCTAACATGCTAAGTGTATGGTTGTCTGGTTGACTGTTCAACCAATCAAAGCGTAATATGCTAATGATATGCTAAGGCAGCTGGCTATGCACTGACCACCAGGGAGCAGATGTTCTGACCAGTAGGTTTGCTTGCTGCTGGGGTCTGGCCATTAGGGACTGAGCAAGATGGGCCAGACATACCCTGGAGCCCTTGTGTGGTGCCTTCCCAGCTGGCCAGCTTCCCACATCCCTTCCCAGCCCCAATCGTGCACCAGTGGAGTCCTTGACCTGGCCTGTGCCCCCTCACAATCCAGGACCCCTCAGAGGATGTCGAAGAGCTGGTTTTGGCCCAATGGTGGAACAACTGGTCACTAACCACCATGGGGCAGATGGTCAACGAAGGAGCTGCCCCTTGGTGGGCAGTGTGTTCTCACAAGGGGAGTGCCACTTAGCCAGAAGTCGGGCTCACGGCTGGCGAGTGCAGCAATGTTGGTAGGAGCCTCTCCCACCTCCATGGCAGCACGAAGGATGTCCGACTGCCAGCTTAGCCCCACTCTCCATGGGAAGTGGGCCTAAACCGTCAGTTGGACATTTCCTGAGGGCTCCCAGACTGCAAGAGGGCGCAGGTCAGGCTGAGGGACCCCCCCTGCAAGTGCACACATTTCATACAGTGGACCTCTAGTTAAAATAATAGCCTTGGCAGGTATGTTCAGTGGTGACAGCTTCAGCCCAATTCTCAGTTAAGGGCACAGAGCTGGGTTGCAGGTTTTATCCCAAGGTACGTGCAGGAGGCAACCAATTGATGTGTCTCTCTTATATTGATATCTCTGTCTCTTTCTTTCCCCCTCCCTTCTTTCCTTCTTCCCTTCCACTCTTTCTAAAAAAAATATCCTGGGGTGAGGATTAATAACAACAACTAATAATGACAATGGTGATGATAATAATTTGAGGCAGAAAGTTCAAGGCCAAGTTAATTTTACTACTTTTTTATCTTTATTCTTTTTAATGAATAAAGTACTATATGCGTGTTGTGTGTGTGTTTGCAGGGGGTGAGGGGGAGGGGGAATCAAACAACCCAGATGTGTATATAGCATAAAAGCATCCATTTTCATTTAGTCTTTTCAATCCCATTTCCTGGAGGCAACAACCACTTAACAGTAGGGCATGTATTCTTCCAGAAATTTCTGTCACTTTTGATCATTTGACAAACACATAAGGACTAGAGCCATGGAAGTCAATTAGCATATTCCCTCCTTATTGGCTGTGGGTGCCGCCATCTTTGAGACCACATGAGGGTCAATTAGCATATTCCCTTTTTATTAGATAGGAGTGCCTACTATGCTCTGGACAGTGTACTAGTTAGGAGCTGGGACCAGTGGTGAACAAACAAATCTAGATATTTATGAATGTATTTATCTGTCATATATATTGGCAAAAATGAGATCATGTTTTTATTAAATAATATCTACTTTTCCATATTAGTCTGTAGAAAGAAATATATACGTAAATAAATATTTATGGTTTTTAACAGCTGCGTAGTAGGTCATTGTATGGCCATATCAAAATGTAGACAACCTGCATATGCTGTTTTAAAACCAAGCAGCATCCCTCCGCTTGAGGAATAGAGAGCAGCCGCCTTCCCGTGCCCTGAGCAGAACCCGGCCGGCCGTCTGGCGGGAGGCTCTGGGGCCTGTGCCCTGCACAGGGATGGAGAGACTGCGGCCCACAGGAGGCAGGCTGAGCACCAGGAGCAGCGTGCCTGCCGAGGACCCAGATGTGGTGCCCAGCTGGCCAGTGCCATCACTGAGCTCACACCCAATCCCTCTGGTCCCGAGACTTCAGCCACCGCAGTTTTCACCACACACCGCAGCCCTGGCCACCTTGTCTCCAGCATCCACTTCGGCAATAAATTCTGTAGGCTATTGGTTAAATAGGAGAAGGAAAAAATAAACTTGAGGTCATGAAAAATGCACACACATATGTGTGTGTGGTGGAGAGGGTTATTTATGGATTGATTTTAGAGAGAGAGGAAAGGAGTGAGAGTGAGAAATCAATTTGTTGTTCCACTTACTTATGCATTCATTGGTTGATTCTTATAAGTGTCCTGAGCCAGTATCGAACCTGTAACATTTGTGTATTGGGACATCACTCTAACCAACTGAGCTACCCAGTCAGGGCTGTGTTTTCTTAAAAGCAGTCATTTTTTCTCCTGGGCCCAGTGGTTTAGTTGGTTGGAGCATCATCCTGTACAACAAAAGGTTTGGGGTTCGATTCCCAGTTAGGGCATAAACCTGCATTGCAGCTTTGATTCCCAATTGGAGTGTGGACAGGAGGCAACTGAATGATGTTTCTCTCTCTCTTCCTCTCTCTCTAAAATCAATAAAATCGTGTCCTCTGGGCATAAAAAAAACACACACACAACTAGTCATTTTTTCATGCCTGTCTCTGGGGCAGAGTGGGTGTGATTGGTGTGTGTGTGTGTGTGTGTGTGTGTGTGTACATGTGTATATGTGTAAATGCACATGCCAGAGCTTACAGGGGTTGGGGTCAGCAAGGATGATGTTGCAAGCAGTTAGAAATACCAAGAAGCCCTTGCCTGACACTCCTCCCCTCCGTCCCCAGTCTCCTCTCTGGAGCTGCTCATCTTCACACCCAAGTTCAACGCCCCCTCCCCGGGCACCTCTCAGGCTGGGGTGCAGCTAGCTAGAGGCCCGGGCTGCGGGACCTCCCGGCAGATCCTGAGCCTCGCGGTGGAGGTAACCTTGCAGCCCAATTGGTCGGTGGTGGCCGTTTCTGGGGAATGAAGGAGGTTTCTGTTTTAAGAAATAAAGTGACTCCTCGCCGGCTGTTGATTCACTGCCCGCAGGGAGCGGTGAGAGCCGAGGCTTCCGAGCCCGTGGAGTGACATTTGCATACCCGTCCACTTCCTGCTCCGGAGCCGGTTCGGCCGCTTACCTGGGCGGCGGCGGCGGCGGCGGCGAGAGCAGCAGGTGAGGCCGGGCGGAGCGCGACCACCTGCGGCCGGGCTGCCGGCGCTGCCAGGTGAGTGATCAGACGGGTGTCCTGCCCAGCTGGCTCCTTCCCCCGACCCCTCCCCAAAGCCCGCGTCCTCCGGCCCTGGAACTGGGCCTCCCTCCCCCGCCTCCCTCTCCCCATCTCCCCACCTTCCACTGGTTTGGGGGGAAATGACAGCTCCGCCGGGCCAGGGGGGTGGGTTGGGGGTGGGTTAGGGGTAGGTTAGCCTTGCAGGCCGGGCCGGGAAACGGAGTCTGCGGGCAGAGGCACTCACACGGGCGGTTCGAAGCTGCCCGAGCCCCATGTGTGGGGAGCACGTCGTGTCCCCACAAGTTGCGATGGAGCATGCAAGCCCCCCTTCCTCCCTCCGAGGAGAGCGGGGCAGGCGGAGGCTCCGTCCTTGGCTTCCAGCCCCGGGAGGCAGGCGTCTGTGGCAGAGGTGGGAGGGGAGCGCCCGAGGGCTCGGGAGCCCTGTGGCAGGCAGGGGGGACGGGAACACTCCATTCTGGGGCCTGAGATGCAGCTCAGCCCCGTGCTGGCTCCGGGCCGCCCCCCAGCCCCTCTCCCCCGCCCTCCTCCCCTCTAACAGCCCAGGCGTCTGCTGGCCCTGCATCCAGCCTGCAGGGGGAAAACAGCAGGAAATGCTATTACTTTATCTGAGAAGGTAATCAAGCTCCACCAGTCTTTTAAGTGTAAGACGGTCTCTTAGAATAAGGGGTTATTTTTTTTTTTTAATGAGCGGGGGGCGGGGGGGAGAGAAAAAGAAAGAAAATAATGAATAATAACAAAAAGAGGACAAAAAAAAATTTGGTTCCAAGTTCTCCTCCATGTCTTGCTGGTTCTGAGTCTTGGGCAATTCACTTCGGTCTCCCCAGGCCTGGATTTCTTCATCAATAAAATGTGTGGGGCTGAGGGGTGGTGGTGGTGGTGGTGGTGGTGGTGGTGGTGGCGAACGAGCATGATTTTGTCTAAATTCCTTTCTAATAAAATAAAACTAGGGTAATGGGAATCCCACCGGGGAGCCGTGATGGGTGGTCTTGTTTACGGCTTCTTCAAATCTATTAATTTTTACCTCCTGCTGCTGGACGGTTCGTCCCTGGAGTAAAAGGATGTTCCTTAATCCTTTCCGACCCCCTGGCCCCCCATGATACTATCAGATACCTCCTCGGTGCTCGGGATCCTTCCCCACAAGCTGCTTTTATTTCTGTGTCCTTCCTCTGCTCTCAAGGCAAGAGGTAATAAACCCGTGGTCTGGGGTGTAAGGCTTTGAGAAAGCTGGGGCGGTCACAGGGCTCCGCGGGAGGGCTGCCTGGAATCGAGGCAGCCATAGAAGAAAGCAGGGGATTTCTGGAATTAGTTCATATCCCACGCGGGTGACGCAGGAAGAGCTGCCCTGAACACGAGCCCAGAGGGGAGGCGGGCCGGAAAGCTGGCAGCGGGGCCTGGCTCCCAGGGCTGCTGCGTTGCTGGGAACCCCTCCCGGGCAGGCCAGTCACTGTGTGGGGGGGCCCCTCCTGGGAGCAGAAAGGAAGCTGCTAAGCACATCCTGATACCATGTAAGGGTGATGACTCCGATGGGACCCACAGAATCCTCACCCTTTTCCAAACCACTCCTTCTTGTTGTCGTTACTGTTTCTTTTGGGCAGCGATTCTGTCAGACCAGTTCTGACAGGCCGTGGCGGACTGGGATGGCTGACTCAGGGCTTCTGGTGTTGCTCAACCGTTTCTGTGGAATCTCCAGTCCCCGGTACAGTCCTCGTCGTGCTTTTAAATGGCTCTCCCTGTCCCCCTGGGAGGAGAGGTCGGGAAATGCAAGAAGTTCCCCTTGTGACCAGGGACTGATTTTATTTTCAGTGATGCTCTGTTATCTGAAATCAGGCTAACTGTTGTTCGGCCGCCAGCCTCGTTTTGATCCAGGGAGACCACCCACAGCTATTCTTAATCCAGGGTTGCAGCTCCAAGGCACTGGCGGAGCTGGACCATGCGGCCCTTCTGCTCATTGCGTGGGGCGGGCGGGCAGACTAGAAGGGAAGTCTGGGCGGTGAACCAGCTGGTCCAGGAAAAGGCTCCCAACTCAGGGACACTCACTTCTGGAGGGTGCAAAGCCTGCTTCTTTCAGGATTAAGGAGTTGGTGACTTTAAAATGCCTTAAAAATAAAAGGACCCCTGGCCAAGGTGGCTCTGTTGGTTGGAGCTTCGTCCTGTGCACCAAAAGGTGGAGGCGGTTCTGGTCAGGGCACATACCTGGGTGTGTGTGGCAGGCAGCCAATGGTATTTCTCTCTCTCTTTCCCTCTCTTTCTCCCTCTCTCTCCCCCTACCTCTCTCTTAAATCAATTTTAAAATAAATAAAAATGAGAAATTAAATTCAGTGAAAATAAAAGGAAGAGAAGGCAGTCCTGTTTGCAGGCTTTCTTTAGCAGGCACTCGGAAAGATAGTGTAGGTGGGTAGTTTGTCTAGATGAAAGCGAGGTGTTTTTACACATCGTAGAATCGAGATCTCAGAAATATCTTGAATTCACATCATTTTTCTGCTGCGGGCAATGTTAGATTGGCCTTTAAAAACATGACATGAACTGGAGACAACTGATGCAGCCAAGGGCACCAATGAGGTGCTTGACGCTTGAAATTCCTTTCGGATCCCATGAAATGACCCCTCATGGTTGATCACATTTCTTTATCAAAACAACCCTGCAGTCTCCAGTGCAAAGGCATCTGAGGATCCGAACCAAGAAGCCCCCACCGGGGACCTCTCTCATTTCTTCCCCAGGAATTGTCACCGAGTCATTTTTAGTTCCTGAAACCCAGGCTGTCCTTTCTCCCTCTGACATTCTTTGTGTCTCTGGCCCAGCAGGCCTCCTGCTCCACCACATGTGCTTCTGTGTCCGAGTGCTCCGCTTGCTCCGTGTGGAGCACGTGTGTGTGTGTGTGTGTGTGTGTGTGTGTGTGCGCGCGCGCGCGCAGATGTGGGCGCAGACCTTCCAGGAGACCAGAAGTTATAAACTGGCCAGGGGAGGTGAGTGAGCTCTCATCCCCTGTGACCCATTGAGCTGTGCCAGTTTGGCTGGGTTCCCTGACAAGGCAGCTGGAATCAAGCTATTTGGGACTGAGGAGGCCCCAGCCTACGTGTCTCCCTCCAATTCTCAGACCCGGCCGGCTGGGGTCTCAGCAGCTCCTTCGTGAAGGAAACTCAGCTCTTCTCCCGTCGCGGTTTTCCTGTGCTCAGGTTTCAGTTGTTTTCCCTTCTTCCCCTCCCAGGGTCAACAGGGCTCCTTCAGTCCCTGAATTCGCTCCCCCCTCTGTGATGTCTGCTCAAACTCTGCCTGGCTTACCAGCTGACCTCTAACACTTACCTGGATTCGCTCTTTCCTTTCCTTCCAACTGCCACTTCTCACACCCACAAATACATAAAAATCGCAAGTTAAATGTCTCCTACAGCCCTGGCTGGTTTGGCTCAATGGATAGAGCGTCTGCCTTCGGACTGAAGGGTCCCAGGTTCAGTTCTAGCCGGGGGGGCACATGTCTGGGTTTCGAGCTTGATCCCCAGTAGGGGACATGCAGAAGGTAGCCAATCGATGATTCTTTCTCATCGTTAATGTTTCTGTCTCTCTCTCCCTTCCTCTCTAAAATCGATAAAATATATATTTTTTTAAATGTCTCCTACACCAACAGAGGTTACCTTTTTACAAATGTCCTTCAAGGTTTCTCCACTTTCCTTGTTTCTCTCTCTTCTCTTCTGTTCTCCTTCCTTCCTTCCCATCCCTTCCTCTTTCTCTCCTGATTTTTCCCATCTGCCCCTTCTTCTTCACTCTGGGACCTGGAGTGAATTAAAAACCACAAATGTGCTGAAACCAGTTTGGCTCAGTGGATAGAGCGTCAGCTGCGGACAGAAGGGTCCTGGGTTCGATTCCGGTCAAGGGCATGTATATTGGCTGCGGACACATCCCCGGTAAGGGGGTGTGCAGGAGGCAGCTAGTCGATGTTTCTCTCTCATCGATGTTTCTAGCTCTCTATCTCTCTCCCTTCCTCTCTGTAAAAAAAAAAAAAAAATCAATAATCAATAAAAAAAAATCACAAGTGTGCATGCAGGTAGAGAAGTCTTCTTATCTGAAACAAGCAAACAAACAAACAAACACCCCCTGGGCTGTTTCGAGGTTGTTCTCTAAATGTTTAACGCCAGGGTCCAACGTGGCATAGGCAGCCCATGCCCAGCAGCCCCTCGCCTCCCTGTCTGACAGCTCAGGGGAGTTCCAGAGCCGACTTCTTCAATCAGGCCTGGTCACACTGCACTGCCCTCAGCCCGACGCTGAGTCGTCCTGCGCAGGGTCTGGACAAGGGCCAGCGAATGTTCCCTGGTCTCCAGGGCTCACCACTGCCTCTAATCCTCTGGCAAACCAAGTGGAAGAACTGTTCTGTCTGGGAAATTCTGCAAGTAAACTTGGACGTATTTATTCACTGGAATTTGTCCCTGAGCCAAACAGTTCACTCTAAACCGACTGACTTCCACTAAGCAAGCCGATGTCATGAAAGTTTGCATGCATTTGGACAGTAAACAAAGAACATCAACGAGTTTATTTATTTTTTTTTTATTAAATCCATGACTTTTAGACATAAAAAGACTACTCCCTTGGGAAGGAAGGAAGACCTGGAGTGTCTGTAATTAAAAGTATTTGCAACTGGATCCGAGGATCCTCCTCGCAATACATGTATGTATTTATTTTTAAAGTCCACCTGAAATATTCATGCTCTTTGTGACCCTATTGTTGACCCAAAAGAGTGCTTTAAAAAAAAAATCCGAGCAGCTGGTGAACAGCCGCAGGCCTTGATGGTGTGGAGCTGGTGATGTGGTTTATTAATTACCCAGGCAGCTCGCTGCTGCCCTTCCTCTGTGTCTGGCTCTGCTATTTGTCTTCTTCCGGGGACATAACACCTTCATTAAATCCCATCCGTCCTTGCCTCGTAGGCATTCCCAGGAAGATGCCCCCTCTCCGGCTGCCTCACCATTTATCACCACCCTTTGTTTGTGCTCTGTCAACCAGTTTCCAATTTATTTTGAATTCAGTTTATGATTAAAATTTAATGAGATCCAATCAAGTGCTTTTCTCCAATCAAGATGCCCGTGCAGCCTCATCCATACCCTCTATTGTCACGGCCAGAAGGAAAGCCAGCCCAGATTTGCAGCCTGGCGATTCATTGATGGATACAGGTGAATGGATACACGGGTATCCATTCACCTGTATCCATCCACACCTCCTCACCTTCAAGGTGAGTGGTGCTAAACCAGGTCCATTTCAGAGGCGCCCCTGCCCCCTTCGCCCCACCCAATAGCTGCACAAACTAATGCTTCCAAATGAGAACATGGGTAAGTGCACAGGCTCTGCTGCTGAACTGCTTGCATTGGAATCCTTTCTCTGCTGCTTGCTGGCCATGTGACCTTAGGAAAGTCACTTAACCTCCTTGGGCCTCAGTTTCCCCATCTGTAAAATGGGGCTGACTATAGCGCCTACCAAATAGGGTGGCTGTGAGGGTGAAATAAGTCAATACGTGTAAAACACTAGTAAATGTATTTGGTGCATAGTAAATATCCAATGAAGAGAAGCAATTATGACTAACAAAGCATAAGGTTTCTTAAAGTATATCCTTTAGTGAGGTGTGTATTTTGATTTAACAGCCTAGTACTGTGGTCGTTGGCCCCTTGAGTGTGGCTTTTCTACAAAATACCATGGCCTGGGCAAATCTGTTTTGAGGAAGTGGCGTTAGAAGAAGTTTAAATTTTAAACATTTGGCTCTCAAAAGAAATTTCAATTGTTGTACTGTTGATATATTTGGCTCTGTTGACTAATGAGTTTGTCAACCACTGGCCTAGTCTATATCAGAGTTTGGTAAACTACAACCCACAGGCCAAAAGTGGCCCATAGTCCTTTATGTACTAACTGAAGTCTCACTAAAAATTGTTTTCATATTTTCAGAGGGCTGTTTGAAAACAAACCAACCCCCAAAGGCAGAGTATGAGACATATATGGTCCACAAAGCATGAACTGTGTACATCTGGACACTAAGAGAAAAGCCCCAATCTATGTGACTTCAATGGGAAGAGTTAGGAGATGTATTAATATAGGCTGAATTCAGCTTTGACTAGGAAAGCTACTCGATGGGTCCCTGTCTATGGCATAGGATGGCAAAGTGATACCAAGTACACTGCCCATAATCCAACAACTTGTTTTAAGGACCAAGGGA